TTGAAACACAATTTCGAGTTTAAAGTGAATTGTTTGCATTGCCTTTGACGTTTGCGAGCAACGAAAATGGACACGAATGAGTTCTTTGTAGTTCGTAAGTATGCATGGGAACATAATTGAGAGTGGGTATTCGTCAAAATGATTACAGGCAAGCTCGATCGTGGTTCATTGGTCGAGAAGTAGTGCACAAGTTTCAGGACCTACGAACGATCTGCAAACCTTCGAACATCATTAATGACGTTCGTCGAAAGTACAGGGTGGTCATGAGCTATCAAAAGCTTGTAAGGTCAAATAATGTGCGTTGGAGGACTTGATGGGTTCGATCGAGGAGAGTTATGCTAAATTGGCCAGATATTTCTTTATTTAGATGTTTATTTAATATTTATTTTAATTGTTAATTATTCATTTAAATTGTTTAACTAATATTTTAATTGTTTAGATGTTTCTTTTAATATTTATTTTAATTGCTTAGATGTTTACTTAATGTCTAACTAATTATTTAATTCAATCATTAATTTCAATTATTTTTTAATTATGTATCGATTGTTTATTTAATGTCTAATTAATTATTTAATTCAATTGTTAATTTTTCAATTTATTTAATATATTTTATTTAATTATTTAAATTATGATTATTGTTTATTTAAATTGGTCAGGTTTTGCTATAACATAGAAAGAATTAATACTGGATCAACATTTTTTATTGAGAAAGATGATGAGAATCGCTTCAAGTATTTCTTTCCCCCGACACTCGACCACATCCCTACAACCCACTCCATCGTGTATGTAGGCACCGTGTACTTGCTGCCTATAGTTTGGAGCATCTGGTACTTAATGTTAACGGCACGTATGAACTCGGTGTTCAGTATGAGTCGCCCAGGAATGTTTAATGATCTTGGATGTCTTTTAACTTGATCTCGTAGCAAATCCATGGTGAAATCAATGTGCTGCATCAGGAAACACCAATTAAAAAAAGAGTTATTTAATTTCATAAATTCAAATTTCATAAATATATATACGTAATAAATAACAATATTACTACTTACTTTCATTGTTGGCGAGCCAAGCCCCCGAAGTGGTAATATCATAAAACCACTTGTAAGCGTCCGACATCGTCATCCCCTCCGTCCCAATAACCGTCTGTCCCTCCGCCAGTCCATTCATCCCGATACTCGCCAGTCCCACCATGATACCCGTCAGTCCTACGTAGGTCTGCTATGTCACCTCGTATCGCTATGACCTCAGTATAAAAATCTCCTAAATACATCACATCATAAGTCAGCTACGTTGCCTCTGATCTGCATTATAAGTCGGAACATATCATCGATGGAAGCACTTTGACTACGTGCAGCAGATCCACGTAGGAGACGTTTGGATGCAGGAGACTGTGATCTTATGTAGAGAGGTCACACCCTCAGCGGAGATGACACTCTCAGCAGAGGTGATCTCATTTAGGGAGGTGTCACCGTCGACGGAGGCGACATCCTCGGGGAATGTGACACCCTCGATGGAGGAGATAATCAATGGTGCTTCTAAAAAATAAGCATTACAAATGAAAAACAAATTATATTCATTTAGCATACCGTGTCCTGATCCAAGATGGACTCAGGCCTCTTTCGAGCAGTACGAACTGTCAACTGATCATGGATATAAATCTGACCCTCTTCCTTGATCAATGGTGTCAGCTCAATGATGATTTCAAGCTGACATATTGACATTTCATCGAATTATTGACCACGTATCGAAATTTCGGAAATGACATACAACAGAAAATGCAAATGTATAATACGTACCTCAGGATCGTCGAGGATAGCCGATAGCTGTTTCGCAAGGGGCTTATATTGTGTTCGCCAGCGGTGCATCCGAGGAATGCATGTATCCCCTCTCCTCGCATACCAATCAGCTAGGATGGGTAGGTCTCGTAAACCCATATCTACAACAATTACGATTATTATATTTACAATTTAATAAAAAAAAAAAATAGATAACTCATTATATTAAACATTTACCTGCAAAGCTAATGGCATGCCATATACATCGTACTTAGGCTCCAGCCTATCTCCCCTAGGTATCGAATGCCCCTCTTGAAGACGCGTAAAGTATCGACAAAGTATCTTTGCCCCCATGAATAGCTGTTGAACGTATTGATGTCATCAACAACGTATAAATGAAAAACGTCAATCGACGTCTTCCTATGATGACACCTTAGTACGCTCTCGACCATCCCCAAATTCAACTTGTCGGACGTCTGGTCGCATCCCCTGAATGCATCTCCTAATTGCACCAGTGTCATTGTCGTGTGTCCATTAAAATAATCATTCAACAGCCTCTTGTTTGTCAGGATACTAGCCCTCGCTGCCTCTTCGCTCGTACATTTCAATCCAGTGATGAGGGGGAACTCGAATATGGAAAATGTAGTAACCTTGCCCCCATGATCAAAGTGGAGGGCATCTTCGTCAATTGGCTTAAGTAGTCGACATAGTAATGAATCGATCAACTATCCAGAAAGCTGTATAGAGCGCAGCGAATACAAGAGCCATAAGCAAGATCGACGTAGTATCTCTACATGCTCCTCGTCCAATGAATCCAACACCGCTGTAAAGTTGACAAAGTTATAATTCGACGTAAATTTGCCAGGAACCTATCTCAAGGTGACGTCCAAATGGTAATCCGTCCTGCAAAATTTCAAATGTTAGAATGGTGTTAATTGAAAATAGATAAAATATAATATCACAAAATTCAACTAACCGAACTGTAAGTAATATACGCACGAAATAACAAATAATAAAGAAAATGAATTAAAAATTAGATAACAAATTATAAAAAGCGAAAAACTAATTTTTGTAAAATTATTTATTTAATATTTTATTTTAATTCTTTATTATTTATTTCAATTGTTTATTTAATTTGTTTCAATTGTTTATTTATTGGTTATTTAAATTATTTTTTGAACATTTAAACTTAAATATTTAATTATTTCTTTCAAATTTTAAATATTTATTTCATTTATTTACCTCAATTTTAATTAATTATTTTGATTACTTATATTTATTTTTATTTAATTAATTATTTAAATTATGATTATTGTTTGATTGAAATTGTTTATTTAATATTTAATTAAAAATTTTGATTATTTATATTAAATTACTTACTTAAATAAATTATTTTTAATATTTATATATCTTAGTTATTTAAATTATTTATTTGTTTATTCAACATTTATTTTGATTGTTTATTCAATGCTTAATTTTAATTATTTATTGTAATTGTTTATTTGATTATTTTCATTAAATTATTTGTCGAATATTTAAACGTAAATATGCAATTATTTATTTTATCTTTCTTTATTTGTTTATTCAATATTTATTTTAATTTTTAACTGAATATTTAATTATTTATTTTAAATGTTAGATATTTATTTCAATTGTTTATCTAATTTTTAATTATTTACTTCCATTATTTTTATTTTATTATTATTTAAAATACAATTATTGTTTGATTAAAATTGTTTATTTAATATTTAATTACTAATTTTGATTATTTATATTTAATTACTTATTTAAATTAATTATTTTGAATATTTATTTTTTTAGTTATTTCAACTGTTTATTTATTATTTAAATGTTTATTATCTATTTCAATTGCTTATTTAAATTATTTATTTTAATCATTTATTTGTTTGTTTAACATTTATTTTAATTGTTTATTGAATGCTGAATTTTAATTATTTATTGTAATTGTTTATTTAATTATTTTCATTAAATTATTTATTGAACATTTAAACGTAAATATGTAATTATTTATTTTATTTTTCTTTAGTTTTTATTCAATATTTATTTTAACTATTATTTGAATATTTAATCATTTATTTTAAATGTTAGATATTATTTCAATTGTTTATCTAAATTTTAATTACTTACTTTGATTATTTTTATTTGTTTATTATTTAAAATATAATTATTGTTTGATTAGAATTGTTTATATAATATTTAATTAGTAATTTTGATTATTTATATTTAATTATTTATTTAAATAAATTATTTTGGATATTTATATTTCTTAGTTATTTAAATTATTTATTTTTATTTAAATGTTCATTATTTATTTCAATTGTTTATTTAATTTTAACATTTATTTTAATTGTTTATTGAATACTTAATTTTAATTATTTATTGTAATTGCTTATCTAAATATTTTCATTTGTTTATTTTAAATTATTTCTTGAACGTTTAAACGTAAATATGTAATTTTTTTATTTCTTTAGTTGTTTATTTCATATTTATTTTAATTATTAATTGAATATTTATTTATTTATTTTAAATGTTAGATATTTATTTCAATTGTTTATCTCAATTTTAATTACTTACTTTGAGTATTTTTATTTATTAATTGTTTAAATTATGATTATTGTTTGATTGAAATTGTTTATTTAATATTTAATTAAAAATTTTGATTATTTATATTAAATTACTTACTTAAATAAATTATTTTTAATATTTATATATCTTAGTTATTTAAATTATTTATTTGTTTATTCAACATTTATTTTGATTGTTTATTCAATGCTTAATTTTAATTATTTATTGTAATTGTTTATTTGATTATTTTCATTAAATTATTTGTCGAATATTTAAACGTAAATATGCAATTATTTATTTTATCTTTCTTTATTTGTTTATTCAATATTTATTTTAATTTTTAACTGAATATTTAATTATTTATTTTAAATGTTAGATATTTATTTCAATTGTTTATCTAATTTTTCTAAGAAAAAGTCATTGGTTTCCTTGCTATTTCTTCCTCTTCTTTTTCCATACGTCGGTACGAGTGATTTGTGTTAGGGGTAATATTGACTTTTCATTATTTTTGAGCTTTTTACAGATTTTTCATTTTTTTTTTTAATCAGACAACGGTCCAAAATGGCTGTTCAATATTGACTTTTCATTATTTTTGAGCTTTTTACAGATTTTTCAATTTTTTTTTTAATCAGTAGACAACGGTCCAAAATGGCCGTTTTTCGTGGCTATCTGCCACCATTTAACCACCACCTGTCTTCTCCGCCTTCCTCTTCCCTTATTGTCTTCTCCTTCTCTCCGTTGACCAACTCCATCTTTTAGTTGCTATACAGATTGAATCCGGAATAATGGCAGCAGCGAGCAGTGTAAAAGTAGCCAGAATGACTCTGGGTTCACAGGGACTTGAAGTGTCTGCGCAGGGATTGGGATGCATGGGCATGTCAGCATTTTACGGCCTGCCCAAGCCTGAACCAGATATGATCAAGCTCATTCACCATGCCATTAACTCCGGCATCACCTTCCTTGACACATCGGACGCATATGGACCTCATACCAATGAAATACTCATCGGAAAGGTACTTACTTTGCCCTACTTCGAAATCCCTTTACGCACCCACATAACCGCAGTTGTCTCCCAGGCTGCACGAGCTTGCAAATTTGAGCTGGATTTTTCAACTCTGTGTACATATATAAAAGAAAAGTGTATAATGTTAATAATTGCTGAAATAGATTTAATGTGATGTACCTTTTGCTTTAACTGTCTGTTATGATTTCATGTTTTCCCTTTTGGGGTTTTTACATTAATTGGAGAATATGCTATCAAGGTAATTTATATTTAGCTGGAGAAGGTAAGACTCTGTAAAGCATTATTTGCAGCCTTAATTATTAGTAGTACTTCCTGGTCACTAGTCTAAAAGTTAAACCTTACTCTGGCTTGGTTATTTATTGCCTTTCTTTCACTTCTTTTAGAGGTGGATGTTTAATAAATGAAAGTTTTATAATGGTTATATATTGTCTTGTACGGAATTCTGGGTTTTTCATAGGCTTTGAAGGATGGGATGAGGGAAAAAGTAGAGTTGGCTACAAAGTTTGGGATTAAACTTTCTGATGGGAAGAGAGAGATATTTGGTGACCCGGCTTATGTGCGGGCTGCCTGTGAGGCCAGCTTGAAGCGGCTTGATATTGATTGCATTGATCTTTATTACCAACATCGCATTGATACACGATTGCCCATCGAAGTCACGGTTAGCCATCTATTCCCCTTTGTTTGTTTGTATATAACTCATAATTTAGTTTTACGAAATTTACAAGCACGTGTTGTTATCAATATGCGTTGGGTTTTCAACTAGCTCAGCAATGAGCTGAGCCAATAGGCAGGTTGCCAAATCTTGGATTGACTTCTTAATTATTTTTTTGATAAGACTTCTTAATAATTTTTCCCATGATTTTTTTAACAAGCCTATGTTGCATGTACGTTTATCTAGCTGATTATGAGTTGAATTTTAGTTGTTTATTGCCTTTCCACGTATTTACTATTTATTGGTTTTTTTGAACCAAGCTTAATATAATCTTGATAAATTGATGAACTATAGAATTGTAAAACTCTGCCATCTTAACTACTACTGCATGGTTCCCAGTCAAGCTCAGACCAAGTTACTCTAATATCTTGCATTGTTCCTTACCCTAAAGCTTTATGTGACAGATGAACTTCCACCGAATACTTTAGTGCTGTCATTGAGAGAAATGGTCAAAGAAGAACAATATATTTATTCAACTAACCAGAACTTTTTAAAATTCTTTTAAGCTAGAGAAATGAAAGGTGCCAGATTTTTACTGGTCTGTCAACTTTGTCACTCCACTGGTTGTTAAGCTGAAATTTTTGGGGATCATATTATTGGTTTGATGACAGCAATAGGAATAAAACATGTGTTGAAATGCAGTACTCATGCATAAAGCTATTGGGTGTTTGATTTTTCCATAGAAAAAAATAATACTCTTTTTTGGGTTTGTTTACCTAATTGTCTCACCATCTTTTTGTAGATGGCAGACTAGTTCTTTGCTGTTGGTAAAAATACTTAAATGATTTGATTTTACGTGCATAGTTGGTCGTATGTCTTCTTTGTATCTTTTGATTAATGTAACGTGTTTTACTCATGCGTCTCCTTATCACTTTGAATCTCTCTTTTTATTTAAGATTGGAGAACTGAAGAAACTGGTGGAAGAAGGTAAAATAAAATATATTGGGTTATCAGAGGCCTCGGCTGCAACAATCAGAAGAGCACATTCTGTTCATCCGATAACTGCAGTGCAGTTGGAGTGGTCTCTGTGGTCTAGAGATGTGGAGGCAGAGATAATTCCTACTTGCAGGTTTATTGATTACTATAATAGTTTTTATAAATTGATAATAGTGGTATGTTGCATGTTTAGCACAGACGCTTAAGTAGTATTAGACAGTAATAAGGAAGAAAATAAAGTATTGTTTATTTAGTAGTCATTCCTAGCCAATACCTTGTACCAAATACTCAAATTTCTACACTATCCTTTGTTGCAATTGTTTCAGAGAACTTGGCATCGGAATAGTAGCATACAGTCCTCTTGGACGGGGATTCTTCTCCTATGGCCCAAAATTGGTTGAAACTTTCAATGAAGCAGACTTCCGCCAGGTTTCTTTTTTACTTACCTCTTGAGTATCAACTTTAAATACGTTACTTTGAGTATTTTCCCTGCATATTTTCACCTCTTTGCAATTTATTTTATACATCTAATAAACTTCTAGATTACTTTCAAATATCTAGTTAGTGACATGATCATTGTATTGGCTAAAGTTTTAGGTATCACTTGCACTTCCTTGGCCCATCTACGAGGAATCTGTTTTTACCTTCTTGCTTTCTTTAAACTACATGCGTACTTGGAATATTTCGTATTCCAGTTACTGAAAACCCCTCAGAATTTTTTCCCCTTTTTTTCCTGATTTACATTATAAGAGAACAGCATCTTCTACAGGGCTATCACTTGAAACAAATTTTGTTTCATCAACAGGTTATTTAGCAATTGAATATACTTGGAAATTTCTGAGTTATAGCAGATTCCATGTCAAAATAGCAGTTGTTTTCCTTGGAAGAAGAAATTCAAACTACATGGTTTTTAGAAGTGTTAAAATTATATTACCTTGAGATTTTTCATTTCCAAAATGGAACTGTTGAGAAATGACCAATTTGATGCCATTTTCTTGGTATAAATATCTCATTTTTCCAACCAGATAATGTCTGATTATGAACATAACCTAAAACTCCTCATGTTGTTTGGTTAAGGTTTCGATTTTGAAACATGTGCTTTATGTTTTGCAGTATCTACCGAGATTCCAACCCGAAAATCTGGAGCACAACAAGAGCTTGTTTGAGAGAGTCAATGATATGGCAAGTAGAAAGGGATGCACCCCTTCACAGCTAGCTTTGGCTTGGGTCCATCATCAAGGAGCCGATGTGTGTCCCATACCTGGTACCACGAAAATCGAGAATTTGGAGCAGAACATTGGGGCGTTGTCTGTAAAACTGACCAAAGAAGAAATGACAGAGCTCGAATGTATTGCTTCTGCTGATGGAGTCAAGGGTGAGAGATATGGATCTGGTTTAAGCACATGGGAAAATTCAGACACTCCTCCTTTGTCAACTTGGAAAGCTGCAGCATGAAAACACATTTTCTCTGGGTGCTAATATTACAAGCTCTATACTTGCTCTTTTTACTACTAAAGTCGAGAGATTGAAATAAAGCCGACATTAAATGTTGTTGGCACACAGTTTGTTACTAGTATTGTGCGACCTTGTCGTTTTGTGATCTACCAGACCTGTATTGGGATATGTATTTGGTTGTTATGGCATTTCGCGTGAATAAGGATACAAACATGTCTGTTATGTTATTACGAGCTGTTGATTTCTGAGTGCTTTGATGTTTGAACCTTATGTTTTACTACCTTCATGATTAGTTCCATTTATAATAGTATGGATGTGGCAATGTTGTTCAGTAATGTTATACTAACACTTGTCTATATAGTGTTTAGGTGACAGGTTAAATAGAATATGAAATTAAATGACTCTTTAATTGTACTTATCGTTTAATGTCACATTAGCGCCCTATAGATTGTGATACGAACCCACGTAGTAGTTGTAGTTCTAAAACCCAAGATATATTAGATAAAATCCAAGGAAGCCAAATATCATGGTTCAGAAAGATCGAGCCAACTAAGCCTAAAGATATAAAAAGATTCTATAAAAAGAGTATGGATACATTCAATAACCCTTATTTTGGTTCCGATATAAGTAGGAGTGGGCGTGATATGGTTCAGTCCGATTCCAAAAAGAACCGAACCGAACTGAGTACCAATGGGAATTTTAGAAATAGAACCAATGGTTCCGTATCTAGTTATGGAACCGGAACCGAACCAATCGGTTCCAATTCGGTCTGGTCCAGTTCTTTACATTGAAATTATGTAAACAAAGTGTTCACTAACAAAAAATTCGAAAGATGTTGCCGGCTATTTAAACGGATCACTTAAGTGGTTTAAGCCACATATTTGTCAACATTAATATCAAAAAGATAGTTCTACACATCATTAATAGAATTTTGACCATTAAACAAACGTGCTATTAATCAAGAATTCCAATTAACTCTACTTTGAAGTGGCAAATTCTCACTAAAATTGCTTTCAAATTGCGAATTTCCAAGTGAACAATGTAACTTGAAGTCTAAATTCAAAGCAATAAGTTAACAATTAAATGTCTAAATCCCATATTGTAATAAAATTAACAATCTGCCATAACAAAATTAAACTTAAGATCTCTTTAATGTCTTCTCAAAGTATCTGCACCAATCTTTCTAAAGAGTCAGTCCACCCCTTGCGTTGATTCTACGGCACAAAAGTTAAAGTTCAAATGTTGAACAAAAAATTTACATGTATGGAATTACATATAAAATATAATTTTGACTGTACTTACAATTAGATCATTCGTCAAGTTCCACAATCATTGAATTTGAATCATTCTTTTTGTGGGTACGTTTCCCAACAAGCTCTACATTACATTGAAAATTTCAAAATCTCAATTAAAAGAAGCATAAACAAAAATAAATATACAATATAATAAGCTAGAAAAAAAATATATTCTAATTATCAGTTTCCAATTGGACCAAATCTTCATGAAACTCTGTCTCTTCAATACTTGCTTCATATAATTGGTCTCCCGAAAGTGTAGAACGTAGCCAGTTTTGTGTACAAATTAAAGCTTCAACTGTTTTAGGTGATGCTGACTCCGAAGCAACCGTAGAAACTGGAATTGCAAGGACATCCCTTGCAATCTCGGACAAAATTGCATATCTTGGACAATTTAACTTCCACCAAGTCAAAATATCAAATCTGTGACTAGTAGAGTCTTCAATGGGTTTCATTAGGTATCTCTGAATCTCGTCTTTTCCTAACAAATCATTATTGTTACTTTTTAATTTTTTGTACCCAAAATCAAAATTATTGGACTCATCCCAATCATCATCTGTAGAAACCTCCATTAAAATGTCATTAAAATCACAATTACCACCACATTCGTCATTAGATGCACTATTCCATCCCTTGTAATGATTATACAACTCATATAATAAACTCTTGATTTCATCTTTTGGTGTTTCGACCAAGTTATTATCATACAAGTGACCAATACAATAACCGACAAACTCCAACTTATATCGAGGATCGAGCACAATAGCTATTATCAATATTTTGTTCATTTTCTCGACATTGCCCCAATACTTATCAAATTTACCCTTCATGTTTTTTGCCATATCACTTAATAAAGGATCTTGCCTATCACTCAATGATTTCAATAGTTGTTGAATATTTCAAACTTCTTTAAAGTATAAATTCGAGGAGATACTCAAAGATGCACTAAACTTTAAAGTAATTTCATAAAAAGTTTTCAAAAACTTAATTAACTTCCGACCTTTTTCCCAATCATCGCTTGTAGGTGGACCTTCTCTTTCCTTCTCATTCTCACAATCTTCAAAATATTTGCAATAAAAACCATCTTCCTCTGCCATACGATCAAATGCTTTCTCAAACTTAAGCACACTATACAACATCAAGTATGTTGCATTCCATCTAGGAGGTACATCTAACATAGCCAATTTTTTTGCATTCAATTTTCTTCCTTTCTACACAAATCTTAAATTTTGCTAATCTCGAAGGTGATGATCGAAAATACTTCACATCATTTCTAATACTTGCTATTGCCATGTGAAACTCTTTCAACCCATCATTTACAATTAAATTCACTATATGTGCACAACACCTTATACGCATAAGCGAACCACCCAAGACCATCCCATCAACCTTCCAATTCTTTAATACCTTTTTCATATAGATAATAGCCCCATCATTTGCACTTGCATTATCAACAGTAATTGTGGACACATGTTCTATTCCCCAATCAAGCAAACATGTTTCAATAAGTTTTCCAATTGTTTCCCCTCTATGGTTTGGTACCACCGAAAAATTCAATATCCTCTTATGCAACACCCAATTTTTGTCAATAAAATGGGCAATGATAACCATGTAACTAATATTTTGTATTGATGTCCAGCAATCGGTCGTAAGGCACACCCTTTGTTTATTAGACATAAGTTTACCTTTCAATAATTCATTTTCCTCATTATAAAGTTTCAATATATCCCTAGTAACTATTCTCCGAGATGGAATATCAAATTTACGGCAAGCATGTCCCATGAAATTTTTAAACCCGACACCATCAACAAAGCTAAACGGCAATTCATCCACAATAATTATTTTCACCAATGACCTCCTACATGCTTCTTTGTTAAACACCATAGTAGCAATATTGACATTACCACCATCACCATCATCATTATCATTTAATTGTCTAGTTAGAACCTTTTGTCTTTCATCCACTCTGGTATTCTTATATTTTTGACTGTTTCTAAAGTGTTTCCACAAGCCAGAAGTACCAATCTTATTTGAATCACAAGCATAAGACTTTCCACAGTAATTATATTTTGCCTTCCCCTCCCCCCTTGTATCTTAGTAAAATGAGACCATATTTCTAATCTCATATTTGGGATTTTTTTATCTTTGACCATCTCGGTATTCAACCTTCTTCTTTCCAACTAAGATACATCTCTCATTAACAAGTGAAGGAATTAAATTCGTAGATGTTAATGGATTCAGAGTATAAACAATTTCAAATGGAGTATAAGAAATAGTAGAACGCATTACCCTATTATATGCAAACTCTATGAATGGCAAGCAGTCCTCCCAACTCTTCAAGTTCTTTTTGACTATAGTGTGCAATAATTGTATCACAGTCCTATTAACAACCTTTTTTTGTCCATCCGTTTTTGGTTGACAAGTTGTAAAGAATAATAGCTTAGTCCCTAACATACTCTACAAAATCTTCCAAAAATGACTAAGGAACTTGACTTTTCTGTTCGATACAATATTTCTAGGTACCCTATGTAAATGCACTACTTCTCTAAAAAAATAAATCCGCAATATTAGTAGCACCATCAGTTTTATAATATGGAATGAAATGTGTCATCTTACTAAATCTATCTACCACAAAAAATATGGAATCTCTTCATTTCTAGTTCCTAACAACGTAAGAGTAATATATTTCCCATCTTTAGTAAAACTGCACTTATTTTCTTATCCATCATGCATCACCTCCCTATCATATTGTCATGGCCTCCCTAACAAAATATACTTGATATGCATAGGAACTTTATTATACATCACTTCATCATGATACCTCCCAATTGACCAATACTCACCTATTTACCCTAACCTATCCACATTCATTCAACCAATACAATTTGTAAAGCCTATGATATTTTAGCATAGTTAATCCCAATTTTTTAACAAGAATAGTGCCAGCCACATTGGTACAACCAACCCCATTGATAATAATACTACATACCTTGTTGTAGACATGACATCTCGCATGAAATATGTTCTCCCTTTGGTTCTCCAAGTCATCCACTTTGATTTCAGCACTAAGATCTTACCTTGTAACCAATAGCTCTCCCACTGCGTACTTTGCTTTCTTACCATCACTAGCATCCTCTAATTCAAACATATCAACATAATCACCCTTACTATTAATCAACACTTCTCTATCGTCACGCAAGATCATCACCCTTTGTTTGGACATTGAGAAGTAACGTGTCTCGATCCCAAGCACTTAAAACATTCGATATCCCGATTTCTAGGAGGTTGAGAATCTGCCTTAGACTTCATCTCTTCCCTTTGGTAGCTCAATTCTACTCTTTGAAATAGCCACATCACTTTTGTTGCTATCCCACTTCGGTTACCAAAAAAGGTTAGAATCCGAAGAACCCAAAGAATATCTAGCTTCCCTCTTCTTCTTCAACACCCTCTCTACCTTCATAACTACATGTAGCATATCCTTCAACTCCACATACTGGTGTAATTCTACCACTTTAGCTATCTTTCTATTTAAACCATTCAAAAATCGGGCCATGGTGCCCTCCCGGTCATCCTTAACATTCGCTCTAATATTGACAATCTTCATCTTCTTGTGATAATCCTCCACACTCCTAGATCCTTAATAAAGAAACTACAATTTTTAATAAAGAATCATATAATAATGATTAGGAATGAACCTTTTTCCTCATTATGGCCTTCAATTTTTCCCATGTCTCAATTGGCCTCTCATGAGCCTCTTAGATGTTGCTATTTGAACCTACTAAATGAAAGCATAATCAGTAAATTCAACGACAACAAGTTTTACCTTTTTCTCCTCCAAGTAGTTAGGAACTTCTTTAGATGTTCCCTACATAAATTAGCGAACAATGTGTCTTACCTCTCCATCCAAGCTTTTTATCTATCCATCCTATCTCCCATATTATTAAACAACCATTCAAACCATTGTATTATCTCCTT